TGAACTTAACATCTCTGTATATTTGCTCCTAAAGCTTCCTCTGGCCATTGCCTACTCCTCAGCCAAACCTCTGCCTGGTGACATGCTGTTCATCCTTCGAGCCATCATTGATGGAACCTCCCGTCGCGCCTTCTAAGACTGGCTTCTGAATGAATCATTCCCTTTTTTCTTTGTTCCCAATTAACATTAAACTGTAGTTAATTCCTTATATGTCTGATGCTGAAACTGCATTAAGGGTCCATTTTTGCATGAGCTATGTATCTTCATTTATCTGATTCTTCTCCTGACATACTACCTGCCAAATAACAGATGCATAATAACTACTTGAACCAAATGGAATTTGGGAGCGTGCAGAGCCCAACCACTGCAGTTAAAGAAATCATTTTCTGCTGGGGACAGTGGCACACAGCTGTAATCCCAGTGACTTGGGAAGCTGAGGCAGGAAGATTGCAAATTGGAGGCCAGCCTCAGTTACTCAATGAGTCCCCGTCTCAAAACAAAAAATTGAAAGGGCTGGGAATATAGTTCAGTGGAAGGGCACCCCTGGGTTCAATCTCCAGTACAAAAGAAAAAAATGAAGAAAGCATATTCTACTGCCTAGATAAATATGCAAAAACCCAAGATGGTCCTACTACTGTGCTCAAGTGAACATACATCTTGGGGAAGGAAGGGGGAGCCTACCTGACTTGAAATAGTGAAACACTTCTCACTCATCACTCCTCCTGCAGTTTACCCTCAGTATGTTTTCAAGTCTGAGCGCCATACACTGGTGTACGATCCCAGCTGCTACGCAGGCACACACTGTGGCACGTATAATAGAATATAAATATGATTGATTTATAATACTTAGCAGCATCCTTGGTGACATTCTGAATATTTTTATCATGGCTGACTTCATGTTAATTGAACGGTACAAGACCATGTAGGGTGAAATGGTGCCTCCTTCATTATTATAACAATATTAACATAGCATTCATTTAAGCATATTAATTAGTATGTAATGCTTCTGTTGGCTTTTTGGAGTAGCTGTACATATTTAATTTTTTAAAATTCCAAGGATTAAAAAATAAATAAATAAAAAAATAAAATAAAATTCCAAGGATTAGGTTTAGAGGTAACTGTCTCATGGTCCACGCCCTGAAATGTGCCTCCAAGGTATGGCCATGAAATTTAAAGTTTGCCTTTTTAGGACAATGATTGAAACATTTCCATTGGCTGAACTACTCTCTGGTCTCTTCCACAAACCAGCCAGTGGTCAGCTGGCAGCAGGCAATATGCTGAATCACAGAATCCAGAACAATAGTAACTCAGTAAAAACAAGGAAGCAAGATAAATTACCAGTGAGGGGAATCATTTGGCACTTGCGAAGCTACACATGAGTTGCCAGTTTTTTATCTCCATGCCATTTCAATTGCTACCCTACCTATTTCTAGACAATCCCCTTTCCACCTGCCATGCCAAAGGATTGCAAAATGAAACCTCCTGGTAGACTAAAAAATGATGAGGAGGCTCACCTATGGAAAAATAAAATATAAAGGACAATTGAAAATAAATTTTAAAAAGACTTTTGAAGTATGTGACATCAGCCCCTTTTGAAGAGCTTGAAAAATTGCACATTCACTGAGTTTTAGCTTCTTTCTACTGAATTTGAACTGTACTAGGTGCAGGAACCATTTTGGAGATGTAAAATAAGAACCTTATGTATGTTTGACACTTTTACTATAACAATATTAACATTGCAGTCATTTAAGCGTATTGATTCATATGTAATGTTTCTGTTGGCTTTTTTGAGTAGCTGTGCATTTTTAATTGTTAAAAATTCCAATATTCAATGGTGAATTTCAATTAGGTCACCTTGAGATACTTAAAAATAGACAGTTTAGGTAGCTGTGTCTTTATAAACCCCTACTTATTTTTCTCAAGATTGAAAAAGAAAACAAGGCAAGCTTTTGTCAGGGATGGGAAGGCCTGGACTGTGGAACTAACACCTCCAGTTCTGGCTGGAGCTTCTCATTTCTTGTTGGCTCTTGACTGCTCAAAAACTTCCTTTTTTTTTTCCTGGACACTACCGCTTCTTGAGGTTCTCATTTGATTGCGTCAAGTGATTACTCACCTCTTAAATAACATGACTGATTCAGAGCCAAATTAAAGCAAGGATGCCTGTGATAATTCAGGATTCTCATCTACCTTCTTTCCACCTTCTCAGAAGCACCACAGCAACACAGAGCCTCCAAGGCCCAGAGAGATTGATACCCTGTTCCCCACCTGTGTCAGTGATGAATGAATGAACTCATGACTGTTGGGGGAGACAAACACAAATGCCCTGAGAGTGGGGTCTGTCTTGGAGCTAATACCCCCCAGCACCTAAACTGATTCTGGTTTTTGATGTCTAACACCCGGGTGAGCCTCATCAGAGTCAATTAGTATTGTTTGAGATCAGGCTGCACATTGAACATTTTATCTGATTCTTAAAATGAGCATAGCACAGATAGGTAGATACAAAGATAATTGTGGATATATGTCTATTCATGTTTGACATACATACAGATATTTTCTAACTCTGACAACTGAGAAGGCCTAGATTCAGAGGTACCCCAACAGTAATGAGCACACCCACAACCAGTTATTAGTTCCTAAATACCTTTCTCTAAGGAAATAGGAGTCCCTGAAGAAATTATCCATTCTAGGAGTGAGGCAAGGAAAATAAAAGATGAGCTCAGAGCATCTTATAGTACCAAGGAGTAAGGAAGAACTCAAAAAGTCATGTCAAAAGAACACAGAAGGCAATCCCAAAGTGTTCCCCATGGTCAAAGCTGGATTTGAGCAAAATTTGAGCAAAAGAATAAACAAGTTTGATCATAACTCAAAGTATGAACTAAATATATATGAGTCTATACCAACATAAATAAACTGTTGAATGGATAAATAAGGGGAGGAAAAGAGACACATCTTTACATGAAAATTTCAGATAATATATGCAGACACTCCCCCCTCTAGAAAATAAAGCTTAAAACCAATTTCTCACCCCAAAACGTGCACTGGACTTCATGACTGGCTACCAAAGAATATACACAAAGCAGGAAAAGCTGAGAAACCTGATGTGTTAGCTTTGCATTGCTGTGACAAAATACCTGCGATAAATAAAAGAAGGAAATATTTATTTGGGGCTCATGGTTTCAGAAGTTTCAGTTCATGGTCAGCTGGTTCCTTTTGCTTTGGGGCTGAAGTGAGAGACTGAACATTATGACTCACCTCATGGTGAGTCACCATGGTGCTGCTCACCTCATGGTGGCCAGGAAGCAGAGAGAAAGGTGTGGGGGGAGAAGAGAAGAAGGGGCTGGGGGCAAAATAGTCCCTTCAAAGGCCTTCCCCCATAACCTACCTCTTCCAACCAGGGCTTACCTTCTAAAGTTTCCACTACTTCTCAATCGTGCCACCAGCTAGAGACCCACACCTTCAACACATGAGACTTTGGAAGACATTAAAAATCCAAATGAAAGTACCTCATGATGAACACTACTTTGGCCAGGTGACTAGGGTTAAGATTATCTGTGGTAAGTCATATTGGTAGCATCTAATGATTGATGTTACACGGAAAGCTGACTTTATCTCTCTGGTGTTCTTCCCTCAAACCCATATCCTCAATACAACCCTGAGAACAAAACCTTTGGCAAACCCCAATTCAGAGACATTCTAAAAAATACTTTAACAGCTGTCTTCAAGACTGTCAAGGTTATGGAAAAAGAAAAGAAAGATTAAAGAACTGTCACAGATCATAGGCGACAAAAGAGATGTGATGACTCAATATAATATTGTATCCTAGAAGAGATCCTGAAATAGGAAAAAGTACATTAGTGAGAACTAATGGAATACAAATGAAGTTTGGAATTTGTTTAAATAGTAGAGTGGGAGCAAGGGAGGAATAGACGAACTCTAGATAGGGCAGAGGGGGTTGGAGAGGAAGGGATGGGGCATGGGGTTATTAATGATAGTGGAATGTGATGATCATTATTATCCAAAGTACAGGTGTAAAGATATGAAGTGGTATGAATATACTGTGTACACAACCAGATAAATGAAAAATTGTGCTCTATATGTGTAATAAGAATTGTAATACATTTCCATTGTCATATATAAATTTTTAAAAAATTAAAAAGATGAAAAGATTAAAAATAATAATAAATAAATAGTAATATGCCAATGTTTATTTCTTCATGTCAACAAATGAACCTTTCAGGTGGAAGAGTTGAGAATGAGGGGGCAGGTCATGTTGGGATGGTCGCCTCTGAGCCCAGCACCCTATGTGACAGTCCTGGTTACAGGCTCATAAAGCCAATCCTGGACTGAGGATTCAGGGAGCATTAATCAGAGTAGGAGGGAGCATGGTCTTTGGTGCACCCCTGAAGGCTGGGCTTTCATCCGTGACCCTGAATGGAGGTTGCAGTAATTGAGGAGACACATGAAATAGATTTTAGAGATCAATCTGATGGGAACATGTCAGTAAGTTTCATCAGAGATCTCCTTGGCATTTTTACCAGTTTTGAATTTGACAACCTGAGGAAGGAAAGGGTAGAGCATGCCTAACCTAATACTTTTCTTTCCTTGCGATAAACTATTTGGCTGTTTTAACAGTTTTAATTCAGAACACACATATCCATCCAATTACCATTTTCTAATATTCATCTCTAGTTAATAAATTTATCCAAAAATGATTCTTTATTTTAGAAACTCAGAGCTCACCAACATAGCACTTTCTTTTTAGGAACCCTTTTTATGGAATTAGAAAGGAGCTCGCCAGAATTGTGATTGTTGCTGCCATATATTTGACTGCCAATATGGTAAAATCTACTTCTGATTTTTCCCCAGGAATTTCTCAAACTGGTTTGCTCTCTGTCTTCCCAGGTACCTCCAGGTCATCAGTCACCCGATGTAAGCCAGGAGCCAACTGCCCCAATTCACACGGTGGCATCAGTAGACAACTGTCTCCTTTATCTATCACCGAGGATTCTTCTGCTCCCATCCTTGAACTTCAGAGCCGAGGATCCTCTGGAGTTTGTGGACATAGAGTCGAGAGACAGAACAGATCAGGTATGTGGGTGACCTTCTCTTCAACAACATCTTGGTAGCTTTCTAATGAGCCATGGAAGATCTTTCCCTCTGCACAGAAGGCAGAGACATTACGTGGGCTCTTGGGAGTGGGTTTGGGGAATGTCCATCAGGTAGGAGGAGGAAAAATATGGGAAGTAGGTTGAAGCAATCTATTAGGGGTGTACAGTGTAGCAGAGAAGCTGAATACCAAATCCTGTAGTTGAAGAACTTAACACAGTGACTTCTAATGAAGTGTACAAGGTAGCTAGTTTTTCTCATCTTCAAAATGTCAAAATCTTTTATCTCAGCTCAGGGATTCAGTAATAACACACTGTGCCCCTTACAAAAAAGACAAAAACATCAATAAAATCACAGAATCTCTATCATCTTCATCAGGACTACCCGTCTCTGGTGCCCCTCTAGTTTTCCCAATTGTATACTTCCTGCGGGGAGGGGACTTGACTTGCCTCACTGATCAGCAGTTTCAGATCATTAAGTCTTTTAGCCCTTCCTCACATCCACCTAACCGCCCACCAATGCTTGAGTCCCTGGGATTGCTGGCTAGATCTCATAACTATGCTGTGAGTTTCCCCACAAACTTTTCATTTCTAAAGGCAGCTGGGTCTACCGGGCGGCTGCTCAAGACTGTTGCTTTTTGGTGGTGGATACCTTCTTTCTTGTCCCAGAGAATGCTCTAAAGTCCCAGGTTCATATTCACTTCTTATCATATGACCATTTTTCCACCTTCCTGAAAAGAGAGAACAATTGTCTGTGAGCAAACACTTTCCTCTCTCAGAGGTCAGAGTGTCTCTGTGCTTTTGTCTATCCATTATCGTCACTGTGGAAATGTTTCTGGTGTGTGTTTCTTTCTAGCCGATGTTAGGTCTTCTACATGAATCCATGATCTCCTCCTCCCACCCTATTTCTCCTGCATTTACAAAGCCTCTCCCAGGTGTCTCTTCACCTTGGCTGGCAATGTATTAAAATCTCTTTCATCTTCAAAACAGTGACAACAACAGCAGAAACAACAAAACACACCATCTAACATAATAGGATGGTTAAAGAAAACAAACAAACCAGAATGTTGAGAAAATGGGCACAGTTTTTTTTTTTTTTAAGTAGAAAAAGGGTAACTCAGGAAATTCAATTAGGGGTGGGTGGTTGAAAAAAGGGGGATGGTGGTAGAGAAGATGTGAAGCCTCTTCTAAGGTCCTGCTAATTTAAGGATAGATTTTTATATAAGAGAATGTGTTTTTTTTTCTTTTTTCAAAAATAGCCTATTTTTAAATGGTATCTGAGCAGACACCCCCCCCCAGGCTAAAACTCTTTAAAAAGTAAGAAAAAATGACACTTTCTTAAATCTTCATTAAGTTTTGATTGGCTTTAATAAATTTTAGTCATATTCCTATTGTCCCAGTTGTTTGCAAAACAGAATGTTCCAGTTAATTAAATATTCTGGTTAATAAAGACTTGTCCCATCTATCATACATGAATTACAAACTTTAAAACCATACCACTAAAGATCACCTGGAACATAATTTACTTTCTGTGATAATTAGAAGGAACTCAGTGCAGCAAAAAGAAGAGAGAAAAAGAGAATAACATGAAAAGAAGCTCACCATGATTTCAGGAATATGGTGGTACTTCACCTCAAAATGAATCTCATATGCTAGATCTTATCATCCTTTGACAGATAAAGAATCTAAGGCTGGAATTAAGCACATACTCAGGGCTCTTCAATGACAGCACTGGGACTTAAATTCATGCTTCCAAAGTCTAGTGGCTTCTACCACCAATCTGCATGATTTCAATAAAGGTTCATATAAATGGGTAGAATTCCTAGTACACCCAATTTAGTGCTATATACAAAGCTATAAATCCAAGCAGGAATGTAGAAGTCTTTTTTTAAAAGCAAAGAGAAAAATGAAAGCTCCGGATACCCATCCTTCTAGGAAATTAAATTAATCCTTTGTAAAATTATAGAAGCGGTTAAAAGCACCACCCATTGTACAGTGGTGTTCCAAAAGCAATCTTCAAAGATGGTAAGGATGGGGACACATTTCATCTCAAAAGGATATTTACAACCTTTAATGAATCATTCCTCCCTTATAAACTAGTCCCTCAGAACAACAGGATCTGAAGTATAGTAGGGCAAACCTTTCTCTTACGTATCACCTCTCGTAAATCTCTAACAAGACTGCCATTCCTATCAGGAAAGAGAAAATTTTCCCCAAACCAGTGCTGAAATCTCCAGTGCTAAAATGGAATGCTAAAGACTAAAAACCTAGACAGAATCAATATTCAGAATAAAAATCTGGGACCCTGGAAACCTTGAATACTCCTTAATGTCTCAGTTTTATCATCTATAAAGTGGGAATGATTGTACCTATTCAATAGGGTCTTGCTTTACCAGCTTCCCAACACAATAGTCTCTCATTCTACCTGCTTATTAACTCTAGTTTTCCTCTCTGCATAACCCACATGGACACAGAGGAAATGCTCAGAACAGTTATCAGGAACAGGTAGTGTCTATACCTAGTGTAGGGAGCTGGCTCCTTATATTTCCAGACTCACCTCAATGCCACTGCATCATGGAAGTTTCCCTGATCTTCTGCCAGCCCTTAACAAGTGCTTCTCTGCCTTATGTGGACTCACATCTGTCAAAGTTGCCCCTGTCACACTGTGAGCTTAAGTCTTTCATCTTTGAACCCTTGGGAACCCAACTAGCTCCTGGTATAGTCTCCAAAAGATTTTGTTGAATAAATAAATAAAAGAATAAAGTTTTCATCTTTTGGAGCCCTAGGGCCTGTGAATTCAGTTGAGTTTTTAAGACTTAGAAGTCATGTAGTAATTGCTGTGTTCATACTTAACTTAGTTTATATTCCCAAATGAAGAATTCACTTTCAAAGCTTGCTTCCCCATCTCCCAAAATGATTATATCAGAAAGCCTTAGCTGGGTAAAGGTTTTTAACCCAGTGGGACAGTCATGCCAGGCTCATTAAGCAGGAGGAACATTTTCAGCCACAGAGCCAGCAGGTTCTGGAGAGGTGATGTGAGAAGCCCCATCCACTATTAGTAACCTGTGAGCTGCACTGCTTTTGTTACCACCAGCGCAGGCCTTGTGCTCAAGGAGGGTTCCTGGGCATCCAAGGGAATCTTGCAGACAATTTTGCCTCCCTTCTCCAGGATTCTACCTTTGGGAGTCTCAGCTTGGGGACTGAGAGGGAACTCTGCTCCTGTTCAACTTTCTGCTAGGCATAGGAATTTATTATGTTGAACTAATTTTCTCCATCAGGGGAGATGGCCTTTATGATTGTCAATTGCAGAGAGCTTTGGCTATTTTAATGTGAGGAAAAAAATGCTACTAACTTTTCTTAGTAAATGTCAAAACACAAGGCAGAGCCTATTATGTTCCCAGAAATACATTAAATAGTAATTTGCTATGAGGTGGGAAATGGCTCTGTTATAGTCAGGATTTGCACTTGTTCTTGGGACACATTGTTTTTCAATTTAATAGTCATCTTTGCTGCAATTGTTAAAATATCTCAGTGGAATATAAAAACAAATATTTATTTCTCACTCACTTTTCATGTTGGTGGAGCCTGGGCGGCTTCAGCTAGGTTCTGCTCATTCCCCCACATAGACTGAAAAAGCAACTTCTATTTAGGATTTTCCATTTTAGTACCAGAGAGAAAGAGTAAAAGTGATGGTGGGGTCTTCGGATGCCTCTTAGAACTTCTGCTGGGAGGTGGTGTAACTCCCATCACTCATATTGGATTGAATCAGGCAATTCACGTGGCCATGGCCAAAGTGTTTGGAAGTTAAGAGAGGGTGTGCTCCTATAAGGAAAGGGGACCAGCATAGCATCTCCCATGTACATGAGCATCCTCAAGTGCTGGATAGGGTCCAGGTTCATGCTGTACCTTGTAGAGCAGAGATTATAAGAGAAAGCAAGCCAGAATCATCAATCTCTTCTGATGGTAGTAGAAAAGAGAAACACTGGCCATTCTGCCATTTTCCTCTTTGGTTACAACCTTCTTTTTTAAGTTTCTGATGTGTTTGATTACTGTTTTGTAACCTGATTCCCACACATTTGTATTCCTTTCCTGTTTTCAGGGGAAGATGGGACACAGACTCATCCTGAGAACAGCAGCCAAGAAAACAGAATCAAGGCTCGCTGCCTGTCCTGCACGTCCGTGGTTCTGAAGGCTGTCTGGGGACTCTTGATCATATTGTCAGTTTCTTCGTCTTGGGTTGGAACCACACAGATTGTAAAAATTACTTATAAGAACTTCTACTGTCCATTTTTCATGACATGGTTTTCAACAAACTGGAACATTATGTTTTTTCCCGTCTATTATTCTGGTCATCTGGCCACTGCTCAAGAAAAGCAATCTCCAATGAAAAAATTCAGGTAGGTTTCATGATAAATGGCCAACAGGGGATGTCTGGGAAAATATACCTCTGTATGTATACATAGTTTCATCTCTTCACAATATGAATTGAGTCCTTGGGGAGTGAGAAGCAGGGTCTGAGGTTGATAATGAACATAAGAAAACAGCCCTCCTCTTAAAAAATTGTGTCTACAACATGCCAGGCACTGAGCTGCTACTTATTTTTTTAATTCACCATCGGTAACAATGCTTACCTTTTTTTTTTTCTCCCAATACTGTGGAATGAACACAAAGCCTTGCACATGCTAGGCAAGAGCTCTATCCCTGAGCTACATTCCCCAGCCCAACATTCACCATTTTTTTTAAAATATTTTTTTAAATGTTGATGGACCTTTATTTTATTCATGGATTTATATGCAGTGCTGAGAATAAAGCCCAGTGCCTCACACATGCTAGACAAGCGCTCCACCACTGAGCCACAACCCCAGCCCCTCAACATTCACCTTTTAAGATGGGGCTATTATCCCCATTTTGACACAACAGGAAACAGATTCAGAAAGGTTAAATGATTTGTTCAAGGTCAAACAGTTACAAATAATGGAACCCTGGTTTAAATCTAGATCTGTTTATCTCTAAAAGTCATGTTTTTAAAAATCTCAATGTCTCAAATCCAGAGTAAAAAAAAAAAAAAGTTTAAAGATTCACAGTTTCAAAACATTTGCTCAATATCCCTGACACTACAATTCGTGAGCAGATGAAATGACCTAGGTTCATGCAGTGGGAGGTCTGGCCCTGGGCAACTTGAAAAGATCCCATTCTTTGCTGGCTGGGAGCTCATGTGGCCTTGTCTGTCTGTCTGATGGTCATGAGCAGTGGTGGCTGGGCTTCCTGGAATCTCGTGGTTCTAGTGGTTGCTTCACACTGAGCCTGGCTTCTGCAGCTCCTCTTGGGGAGTGGAGGAAGTTGAGAGGGCTGAGGCAAACACGGCATTTGGCTCAACACTCTTTAGTGAGTGCACAGCTTCTTGAAAAGGAAAAGCCCAGAGATAAGCAATAACATCCAGAACAGCCACTACGATAAAACAGGGACCTTGGTGCAGAGCAGATGGGAGAGTGAGAGCTTATTGGTCTTCTGCAGAATGACCATCAGTTTGTCTTGCAGACACCAAAATAACCTTCCCATGAGAAGGGAAATGCCTAACCAAAAGGATGACTGTTGTGATTGGTGCATTATAAGACTATTCCTAAGTGCTTAACAAACTGTGATGGGTCTCTCTCAAGTTACATTTCCTATAGCCAACCTGGAAGTACCTGGGAATACTATGAGCTATATGTGTCCGTGACAACTCAATTATAATTAAATAATTTAAGAAGGAAACTTAGAATCAATATTGTCTGCTTTGGAAGAAAGAATAAATTCCCATATGTATTTGCAATTGCTAAAGATATTTTTATTCAGTCCTATCAAAATAGAAATAATCTTGAGGCATATTTTTTCCCATAACAGTATGTAATAAATTATAGCTGGGGAGCATCGTTATCAGAATAGTATCAGATAAAAATAGCGGTGTGTACCAGATAGCACTGTGTTCCACCTGAATATACCTGTGATTTAGATAAACATGTTGATAAAAATAACAAAAGAGTCTAATGAAAAGAGTGGTCCAAGAACATTTTAAAGCAAGCCAAGGTGGTTTTATCTAAGATAACACATTTGCAAAAGGCTATTGCTGACAGAAATGATATTTGGGGAATCAGCTTCATCTTTTCCCCAATCTCTCATGTCAGACTAATTCTGAACTTGGCAAAATCTGTGATTTGACAAGATACCTCCACCTGTTAGTGCAGGTAGAATGAAGTTGAGCATTTCTGATCAAATAAGAAAGCTTTCATTGTTAAACACAGAACACTATTTTTGAAAGGATTGTTCTCTAGTGAGAACTGTAAAGGAGGTTGTCAGAAAATTCTTAGATCCTTGATCTGTTTTCCCTGTAGACTCATTAACACCATCTGCCAAGCAGGAACTCCCAAAGCTCCCAAAGGCAGAATGAGGGGAGATAGACTTAGTGTGAGACCGGAGACAGGAGTTATCCCCTAGCACCAGAACTTCTGACAGTTTCTCTCCCAAATGGTATGAAAGCATTTCTAGTTTTATTTTCCCCCTATTACTCATATTAAAAGAATTTTCAATGTCCATTTGGAAGTAATTTTCAATGATTTAATCATTCCAATTGTATGCCACCAGAATTCAGTTGTCTCTGGTGAATTTGAAATTTAGAAGAAAGAAATTATATCTCATAGTTTTAACAAGGTTATTTTCTTAGAGGGAATAAAAATTCTAGAACAAATTAATTAGAGTGGCAGATATACTAGACTCTGCCAGGCACCTATGAAATGTGCTTTAAGTGGCTATTTGGCATGTAGAAAGTATTCGATAACTAGCCTCCATTCCAAGCTTTGCCACCTGTCAATGCCCCTTATCCAGAAATTTTGTTACCATCCCCCAAAGAGACCCACTGCTAATTGCTTCCCTATAAAAATCTTTTTAAATTTTATTTTATTTTAATATTTTTAGTGTTCCCATTTCTTAGCGCTTAGTGCTTACAGAGTATAAGGTTACACAAGTGACCTGGCATTTGGATAGTATTTTTCATTTCTGCAATAGTAGCAGAAATGCCAAATGGGCATAAGGTTGACGGTGAGAATAAATGGGAAAAGAAAAGAGAAAAATAAAGGAATGAGCACCTGGGGACAGGGTCAGCCAGGTGACAAGAAGTCTTTACTGGGCAACTGCATTTTACCAGCCTTTCTGTCCTTGGGCTTTTCCCATGGGACCCTATATGGCTTCCCTGGGGAATCCAAGTGTTCCCTCACCTGCATCCCAAGTCTTTTCTTGAGGGCACTCAACCCAGTATGATGGTAGGAAGATCCATCACTGCCTAGGGCCAGCGATAAGAAAAAGAAATCATTGAATCAGAAATGGGTTTCCTTTTGGTCATTGACAAATCTGTATTTAAAAAGTTGCTCTGTGGTTATGGATGACAGAATAAACCCATGCCTCTCCACTCTGGCTCTCCATGACAGCTTCCTCATGGAGCAGAACCATCGGGAGCACAGAAAGCAAACCTTGTGCCCAGGCTGGTCTAGGCACCATGCTGCTGGTTCTATATGTGATACTGCTCCAGAATAACCCCCCACCCCCACCCCACTCCCCCACTCCCTCAGTCCCCCACCCCCACTTTAGAGAGGCCACTGATTTTCCTGAGCACATGTGATTTCTGTAGACTTTACAGAGGCTTTGCTTTGGGGTTATGTAATCCCATCATTGAAGTTGTGTCACTGTCCAGTTAAAATTTACCTTTGGGAAAATTTCATTTTCTTTTTATGAAAATTCTTCCTTTTTGGTTGTAACCCAGTGAAAGTCAAACCACAATACATATCATGTGTACAATATGCACTTTTAAACCTTCCTGGAATCATCGACCTACAACGCTCAGGAATCTCAGCTGCTTGGAAGCCCCATTTATTGGGAGACTTGATATTTAAGGCTATATTCCCTGTGCTTAGGACCTTTATCACTCTCTCACTTTATGTGGCCCTCCTGTCAGGAAAGATAGTTCACGTGTGTGAGGCAAACACTGGTCAGGGATCATTTTGGTACTTAAATTACTTTTTTTTTTTTTGTGGGGGGTTACCAGAGATTGAACTCAGGGGCACTTGACCACTGAGTCACATCCCCAGCCCCATTTTGTATTTTATCTAGAGACAGGATCTCACTGAGTTGCTTAGTGCCTTGCTGTTGCTGAGGCTGGCTTTGAACTTGTGATCCTCCTGCCTCAGCCACCCAAACTGCTGAAATTACAGGCATTAAGTACAATGTTTGTCTTTAGTAAAAGTTGGAAAGAAACTAGTACCAGCACTCTCCACAGTTATGAAAATACATTTCATTATAAATGTTATAAATATGTCTGAATATTAATAACTCATTGCCTTGAACAAGATATTTACACTACTCTTGAAAATAGAATATTGGATACATAATAGCCACCCATAAATGCTTGGATGTTTGTGAACAACTGAGTGAAAAAAATCAAGCTAAATTCTCCAAGTGGCATGCCGGTTTTCAGTCATACACATACTGTCATCTTACCACTTCCATTAATGCCTGTATGTATCGCTAGCTTGAACAGTTTGATTAACATGGCCCCATGGGCTTCATAGCCAATTTAATCAGAAATAAACAAATCAGAGGTTTAATTAAAGTGACTAGTTCCACACATTGAATTCAGATGATTCATCCAAAAATAGCAATGTATGCATATAAGCATACATTTCATAACTTAGTTTTGAATTTCATAACTTAGTTTTTACTGTTTTCAGGGTTATTACAGAGGCTTTCTCATTTTTCTGCCTTAATAATATGGATAGGAAAATAAATTAGTCAATTAAGCAAAGATATTAGAAGGAGACACAGTAAATCAGGAATAACAAAACCCCAAGATGTGGCTTCACAGACACAGGAGGCCTCCTGCTCCACAGGATTCTGGGAGTTGTCTGCGTCTGGTCACATGGCAGCTGCCATCTTGATCCTGTTGCATTTGCCCATTGGGGAAAAAAAACTCTCCTTTCAATAGATAGTCATTTCAGCAATTACTTATTTCTGTATTTCTCCAGTCTTCTCTGAGAATGTCCATAGCCTGCCAGATGTCTGCCCTGGCAATCCCAAGGGAGTATCTGGGGAGGAGAGGGCCTACCTCTGTGCTGAAGAGCAGTGGGTTCCTTTCCAAGGCTCCCTGAAACCCACACGTGGCAGAACTGGGTTCAGTATGTTCCACAGCTGAATGAGAGACTTGAGTGCACTCCTGCCTGACAATGGCTATGAAGAGTCAGCCCCACAAGAAGGATCCCCATTAGCACCTGCATATTAATCTCTTTTTTCTTTCCTAGGGAATGCAGTCGGATTTTTGGTGAAGATGGTCTGACGTTGAAGCTCTTTCTTAAAAGAACTGCTCCCTTTTCTATTCTATGGACTTTAACAAATTACCTGTACTTACTGGCTTTAAAGAAGCTGACGGCCACAGATGTCTCTGCTCTGTTCTGTTGTAACAAAGCCTTTGTCTTCCTGCTGTCGTGGATTGTGCTGAAAGACAGGTTCATGGGAGTGAGGGTAATAGCACACTAAATTCAATGCGTGATGCCTCCTTTGATTGTAAATCCTGCGTCAGGAGAGCTGCTTTGGTTCATGGAGTTTCTATAAAACTTTTCCCACTGAGTACAAATTGAAATTTGAAGATGCATTAGGAAGCCCCGGCAGTTACAACATCATGAAAGAAAAAAGGGATCATCCTACTGGGGAGTCAGCTAATTGCAACAGGAAGCACTAAAACAGACCAAGAAAATAAGTTCCATTTTTAGAATAGTTTTTAGGACTCATTTTTCAAATTAATAGTGTGATCAATATCTGTCTTCAGAAAAGAAGGGTCTGGGGAAATTAGCCACAAGAAAGATTATGATTTGCTGTTTTCAATCAACATATTTTGGGACATCCCTCCCTCCTACTCCTACCCAGATGGATTTAATTAATATTGGTGTAAGTAGATAAGATTACCAAACAGTAATTAAAGTCACTGGTAATAGCACAATGCTGTTAAAAGTTGCTATATTTCTAGTGTGACTAATCTAGAAATGGAACTGAAAGCAGCAACTTGTACTTTGGTGTACAAATCCTTAATTGAACTGCATTAAATGTACACCAACCTCTTCAGTTCTGAGTTTATTCCTTTCAGAAGTAACATAGATTTAAAAAATAATAATAATAAATTTTGGTAAGCTCGTTCTATGTCGGAAATAGATTGTTTGGTAACTATGCAAGTTTCAGGAGCCAGGTTTTATTCATTTCATCTGGCATGCTACCATGATGAAAATATCAAGACAGCAGTTCCTTGGGAGGTCCAAATGAATAGCCTTTTACCAGAGTATCAACATGATGCAGTTTCTTATCCTCTGAAAGAGATGGCTAAGATTGGATTTGAAATCTCTTTTGCTGTCCAAATGCTGCTCTTGATGGCAATGATTCCAAGGTGTTTTTTCCCAGATGCTGAAATCAAAATCCATATTAGAAAGAAAGTTTATGACAGCCATGAACCCTGAAAGCTTTTTTTTTTTAAAAAAAAATAGCCAATTAAGAGCCAAGCACAGTGATGTACAATTGTATTCCTCCTCAGGAGGCTGAGGCAGGAGGATCTTTTGAGCCCAGGAGATCACTGCTAGCCTGGGCAACATAGCAAGAATCTATCTCTTAAATAAATAAATAAATAACCAGTTAGAAAATTCTGATAGAATCTTAGGAAATGCTGAAAAATTTAGAAGTGATGCTTGACATGAATACTAAGAAGAAAGCCAAGATGGTTTGATACCATTAGAATATACCAAATGTGATATCACATGCTCCACTAGATAATCTTGATTTGACACCCAAATGGTTTGGCACTATGTATTTATACCTGACATAGCGGTGCTGACTCTCTACCACCAGGTACCCTGACAAGTCCTTTGTGAACAGGGACCTTTCCTATGTTGTCCACTGCTCCCTTTTTAGAAGAAGGGAAAGAAAGGAGATTGAGTGGCTTTTCTGCTCCTCCAGATACCTATGGATACCAAAATAAATCAATACACTATTAGATTTACCAGTGAGAAAAACCAATTGTATTAGAATGAATGAATGCATTTAACCATGGACCTCACTGATGTAAGAAGTTGCATCAAAAAAAAAAAAAGGCAGAATGTTTGAGACTTAAAAAAAAAAATAACAAAAAATCAGCTGTGTAACTCACAGTTTTAAGACAAATGCCTATAGCCTACTAACCTCTGCCATTTTAAATTTGGCATATGCAGTGGATTTAATAGTGGCTCCCATTCCAAAAGGATCTGTCCATGTCCTAATTTCCAAAACCTGTGAATGGGACCTTATTTGGAAAGAGAGTCATTGTAAATGTCATTAACTTAGGAATCTTGAGCAAAGAAGATCACCCAGGATGATCTGGGGGGACCTAAATCCAACAACAATTGTCTTTATAAGAGACACACAGGAAATACACATGGAAGAGGAGGCAGCAGTTGTGATCACAGAGACAGAAACTGGAGTGACGTAGCCCTAAGCCAGGAGTGCCAGAGCAGCCACCAGAAGCTGGAACATACAAAGTATGTGCTGTCACCTAGAGATGACTTTGGGAGCATGGCCCTGGTGGATTTTGAACTACTGACCTATACACTACTATGAGACAATCAATTTCTGTTGGTTTAAGTCACCAAGTCTGTGGTTTCCAGAAGTCTCGGGAAACTAACACAGCATCTGTAAGAAATAAGATTTGATAGAAGAAATGTGAAGTAGCCAATAAGTATTAGCAAATAAATACATGCATAAATTAAGATATCATAGATGGCCAAACAGCAAGCAGTGGTGTCAGGCATGTTGGTCGAAGTCAGATATCTTTCTTTTTCAAGACAGGAAGTGTTTTACTGCTCATTATGAAATGTTTTTTATTGATGTTTATTGATGCCATGTTCCAGGAGAACGTCAAAGTGTGCTTTTAATGATGCTCATAATCAGGCCATGGAATATGGGAAGCACCACAACATATTCAGCATTTTGCCTTTTGACAGTCTCAGCAATTCCTTTTCTCCTAAGACATATAGAGAACATGTATAATTAGGTCATTTGAGAAACTAAAGGACAGTGAATGCAGCACCAACAATATAAATGCTGCTTTTATTGCCTTTATTTATAAATCATCTAAAGCTCAGCCCTGCCCGATGCTGTGCCACAGGACTCTCTTAAAACAAAAAAAGCAAAATGCAAAACAAATCAAAAAAACCTGTTTTCAGTCATCAGGTGGAAACCTATCTTCTATACCATTGAACTAGAAACTTCAACAATGTTGATATTAAAAACACTAACTGGGTGG